CATAGAAAGTTCAGCGTACGGCAGCGTTTTAGGATATTCTGGGACGTCGGGCAGACGCTGGATAAATTGTCAAGGTGTTCCAGGAGCCTCAGCTGCAGGATGGCTCATACATCTCCTCTGCAACGCTATCTGATCGTCTTACCAATTATTTATTTTATTTTTAGTTAGAAAAGCTTATTCCTTCAGCTAGAGTCTCTCCTCTTTTCAAGGAAAACATTTAAAAATGTACAGAAATGAGCCGACGGTTTGATCTTTGTCTTTTTTATAGATTTAACTATAAACCTTTAAACATTTTATGTCTTCATGGCAGACTGGTTTTTAAAACATCCAATCAATGGACAGAAAATCTGAAAAATATCACAGAAGAGAAAAAAAAAAAAACCTATTAAACCTTAAAAACATTAAGCCCCAAATGAGATGAGATGAAAATACCTTCACATCCCCATAGTTGCACTTTTGGACATAAGTTCATGTCGACTCTTTCACTAATTATTTAGTTTATCTTTTAAATTAACTTTTAGTCTCATCCACACATTTCTTGAGCCGTTGGTGGAAAAAAAAAAAACGTTAGATGTTGGTTTAAAGTGTGGATTTTTTCCATACAGTCGTCCCTCATTATTCGTACTCCAAATTGATGCAATCCACCGAGCCCACAGCATGATGCTGCCAGCACCATGCAGTTTCTTTGGGTTCCTTCCACCATATCCAAACGTAAACCCTCTGACCTAAACGGCCTCTCAGATGGAAGAACGTGAGTTTAGATTTCAGGAATCATCAAGGCTGAAGCTGAGCGAGGATGGCGGTTCATGATGAGGCTGTGGAGAAGAGCTGCCAGCAAGGTGTTCAGCCGAGCCTCTACTTAACGGCTCAGTGTTGGAAACCCTGAGGAGCAGCTTCAGCTTTAAGCCTCTAAACTCTCCCTGAGCTCTCTTCTCTAACTTCCTGGAAAGGCTGGTTTATAATCAGTTTGGTTGTTGGCCAGATGTAACTTCCTGTTCCTCTGGGTTTGTTTTTAAAATGTCACATTAAACATCGTCCTCTTGCAGGTTCCACCACCCCATCCTGGCTCGGGTGGAGGAGGGTTTCCAGACAGAGGTGGACGTTGTGACCCAGCTCCTGCGCTGCCAGGCCCAGGTGTCAGAGTGGCACTTCCTGCCCGCCCTGCTGAGCCTCCACGGCGCTCACACCAAACTCACCGCTTGGGCTCTGCTCTTCCAGAGGCAGAAGGAGACCCGGAAGAACCTGTTCGGGGGTCAGTCCCAGAAGGCCGTGCAGCCGCCGCATCTGTATGTGTGGCTGCAGCGCTTCCACGCAGTGCTGCTGGCAAAGTTCAGCTTCTACTTCCACGAAGCTCTGAGCCGGCAGACGGCTCCGGGGGACATGAGAACCCTGACCGCACGGACCGCGCCGGACTACTACGGTAAGATCTCCGCTTTCATCAGGAAGCACGACGCCAGCAATGTGTCCCTGGTGTTCGACAACCGCGGCTCAGAGAGCTTCCAGGGACACGGATACCACCACCCGCACTCGTACCGAGAGGCGCCCAAAGGGGTGGAGCAGTTCCCGGCCGTGGTGTCGCTGCCTTCAGGGGAGCGGCCGCTCACCCACTGGCCAAACGTCATCATGATGATGAGCGACCGCGCCACTGAGCTCAACGCCCTGGACAAAGTGGTCCAGTTCTACGATGACAAGGTGCAGAGCACATACTACCTGACCCGACCAGAGCCGCACTTCACCCTGGTGGTCATCTTCGACGGGAGGAAGTCCGAGAAGGAGCAGCACATCACCTCCTTCCTACAGGAGATCTCCAGCTCGCTGCGCAACTCCAAACCCTTCAGCATCCTAAAGCCGGGCTCAAAGGGCTGAGCTGGACAAACCGCACCGTTCCGAAGTCCAACCGCTCATCTGGATCCCATTCCAGAACAGACAGATTTCAGATCAGAGTTTATCTGACATGTTGACTCTTCAAGAAAACAGAGAAGCTTGATCTGTGTTCAGTTTTAAATTTGTTTCATCATTCTCAGTTTTAGAAACCAAATAAAGTTTTGAAGTCGTTCTTTATCTGATCTGACGCTTTAAGACAAGATTATAGATTTTCTTAGCAATAATTATAGAGGAGCTCATGATTCCTGCACTGAATGCAAGGTCCTGTTGCTGCAAAGAAAAGCCCAAACCATCAACCCTCCTCCACCGTGGCTAACAGGTAAGAGGCTGATGCTGATTAGCTTGACTTGGAAAACCAACCCTGGAATGAACTCCTTGTCTGGGGCAACAAGGTTCAGGATTCGATTCCCAGCTCGGGGTCTCTATGCAGTTTGCATGTTCTCCCTGATTATCCATGGGTTCTCTCCGGGTACTCTGGCTTCCTCCCACAGTCCTAACATGACTGTTAGGTTAATTGGCTTCTCTAAATTCTCCTTAAGGCTGATTATACTCTAAGACCAGGTTGTCTGCATGTATGTCGCAGTGAATGCAAATGTGTCCCCTAAACAGACACTCTGCTGCACCTCTCCAAAACTGTAGGTGACTGCAGACAGGAGGCCTCTGATTGGTCGAATCTACATCCGCTCTACACTGTGTGTATTTCCTGTTTGGTACCTTAGCAGCTTGTTTTGTCTGTATGACCGCCATTGTGGAAAACGACTGGTGAAGATGGACCAGCTAGCAGAGCGAGGTGTGCAAGAACGCTGGGACCCTTTTTCCACCTGGATCCCCGTTTTTTTTGGCCCTCATGTCCCTCCGTTGTCGCACAAACTTGCCCCACTTCCTCATCGCCTCGGCTGTATCTAGACCCACAGCTAGTTCCTGATTGGCCCTCTGGCGTTGTGGTGTGGAATAAAGGGCAGATTATACTTCTGCACCCACACACATCAAACGTCGCTTGCATCTGGTCGCAAACAATTTTTGCTGGAATGGTTCTGCAACGTCAGTCTGGAATTTCTAGGGACGCACAGCAGTTTCCTGTCAAAGCATTAGGGGGAGCCTATTCCAGAATTTGCAAGAACTTCGGAGGATGGTCACTAGTGTTGGAACGGTTTATGAAAACCGTCCAAACCGTTCGGTTCGACTGTCTCGGTTCAATTTGTGTGTTGCGTTCGGTTCAAGCGCTGCTCCTTTTCTCATAGGCGAAGCGTTTACACTCCAGAGCAGAAGGTGGCGGTACTGCGACCAAAGCCAACCACCAGTAGTAAACAAGAAGAAGAAGAAGCGAAGCAGCGTAGCCGGGTGTAGCAGAAAAAATCAGTTGTTGTGGAGAATTGTGTGGGTATGGCGAGTGGGAAAGAACAGGAGTTGGAAGACGCGCCAGCAGCACTTTATAGGTCTGCTGTATGGGACCACTTTGCATTTAGAGTGACCTACGATGACGGCGGAAAGAAAGTTGTGGATAAAAACAGTGTGCAGGCATTGTGCAACACGTGTTGTACTATACAAGACACCGAACCGAACTGAAAACCGTGACCACGAAACCGTGAACCGTCCGAACCGTGGAATTTGTGAACCGTTCCACCCCTAATGGTCATGAGAACCTCTTCGGCGGCTCCGCTGGGAGTCAGTCTCTTCCACCTTTGTAAACACTCCTTTGGATCCCACTCAAGGATCTCTGTATAACTTGTCTGAGGCATGGTACAAGTGGCTGTACTTCTGAACCTCCTCGATCAACCCTTCGTCGTGGTTACCCATTGTTGTTATTAATCCTCGGTTTTTAAAAATGGCGCGCCCAGGGCTCTGAATCAAGAAAGACGACAACACAGACAGCCGGAAAGGCATACCAAGGACCAATCACCGCTGCTTTTAGTCTGCGCACTTCTGCTTGAGGTCTGCGTGGGTTTGCGACCGTCCGACGTATACCCAGGATTTTTTTTGCGCGGGGGAAGACAGAGACTGATTTGACAATTGCAGAAGCTATGCGTCAGAAAATTGGCATCAACATAGCGCAGACCACGCTTCAATATTGTAACCTGACTCCGCCAGATGGATTTGCTCCGCATATCCATCTGGAAACCTTCCGTTGAAGTAATTTTAGGAAGGGGCGAAAATACTGGTTAGCTGATTGGCCTATGTTGTTGATAGACGGGCCAAATAAACCAATCAGATCAACGAAGCATATGACGTACTAACAGAGGGACGACGAAAACACAACCACAAGCCAGGCGACTCTTGCTGCTGCAGGTAAAGGCTCGTTAGCTCAGCTAATAAGCAACATAAGCCTCCAGAGCAGTGTTTTGCTCTTCTTTCAGTGAAGAAATACTCTGTAATTCCGATAAAACTTGCTCGATAGCCACGCTAACGCTAGTTTCATCGGCTGAAGCCGCCATGTTCTTTAGACTGAACTGTCGCGCTTCTCGTTGCGTCACACCTCAACCCGCCTCAAAGCAAACACTGATTGGACGTTCGTTTGGTGAACGGCTCTAAATTTTCTTTAACGGAGAGTCTCCAGACTGATCAGCGAATGAAACTTTGAAAGCTCGCGAGATCAGGATAGTCTCATGAGGCTATCAATATGGGCATTAATCAAAATATCTGCGAGACGCTAACTGCGACACACTGCTGCAGAAGGTCAACCATGCCTTTAGGTGTGAGTGTGTGTGCATGGTTGTGTGTCTCTGTTTTGCCCTGCAACGGACTGGCGACCTGTCCAGGGTGGACCCCGCCTCTCGCCCATAGACTCCTCCCACCGTCACCCTGAAAAGGACTAATGGATGGAATGGAAGGACTCAGTCTGCGATCCAGGTTCTACTTACTTTGAGACATTCAATCAAATACTTTTTGGAGTCTAAATAAACAGCTGATTTCCTTCTAGAGTTTAAAAGTCGTCCAGTTGAGTCAAAGAAACCTCCAGTCCGCCTGTGGCTTGAATGCTAATTTATTCAGATTGATTTAGAATATAAATACATCACATTGATACAATCCATTTGGCTATACGAGCTCGACTTCAGGAGGCTCAGTTTTTCAAATACAGCAACACTGACAGACGGAAAACCGTTTCTGCTTCTTATCAAACACATTCAGAGACACCCCTCCCCCCCTTTTTTTAAAGGAAAAAATGCACCAACATGTCATGATGCTACATGCCAAGGACACAATCCTATACATCAAAGTGCAATGTCACAATGGGTAAATGTTAGAATTCATTAATTCAGGGAATCTACTAAACACTTTTATGATAAACTTCATTCAGAGTGCTGCTGCTCTTTCAGTCTTGACATGCGTGAGTGGATTCACACACACACCCCCCCCCAAAAAAATACATGAGGGTCTAAAAAAAAAAAAGGCACTTTCACCAAAACACATGTGCACACACAGCCTGGTCCAGTTTAACACCACACTCCACATTCACTGTGCTGTTCAAGTGTAGTTTTTTTTTTTTGTTTTTTTTTGGGCGTTTTCACACACAGAGCCCCGACCCTGTTAGCTTATTGGAGGATTTAAGGTTAACCAGTGACTTTAGTGTAACACACACATACAGATGTACGGATGAGGTGGTGGCATGCTTTTTGCACTCAGGTTTCGTCGACTTGCAGTCGTGTGTTGTGGCACTAGAGGCAGGCATGAATTATCTATTCTGCACTTACTGGGGGAGCACGACGAGGGCGGGCGAGCATACACACACATACGCACACACACCAGCACGCCGACAAACGCTCAAACAAAACAAGGACTAGTTTAGGAGGAGCTGCCTCCTGAAAGAAAGAAAACAAAACAAGAAGGCCGTGGAACAGTGAGGCCGCCCACCGAACATTCAGTAAAGATGGCCGAACAGTCGTTAAAAAGCTGAACACATTCATTAAAGTTTTCGTTTTGTATTTTATCCGTCACCGAGCGCCTCTGTGGGAGGCCCCCTGGGTGAGCATAGCAGCGGAAATTTGAGTGAAACGCACGCCGTCGTGCCGTCCAAGTCCTCCTCCTATAGACCAGTCGGTCGGCGGATGCAGCAGCCAATCGGGTGTCTTTAGGGACACAACATTCACATCACTGAAACTACGTTTTTACGGGACTTTTTCCGCCTCACCAGCAGTTCTTTAAGCTAACCTTTGATTAATGCTTCGATACATGGAGAAAGGAAACTCCTACACATCAAGAGAGTACACACCAACCTGACGACACAGAAATATCATGGCATATCATATCATAGGTCATGTCATAGATTATAATTTATTACTACATTAAAAGCCTTTCCTACCCTTTCTACCTTCACGTTGATTAGAATCAGCAAGCAGTACCCTGATCTCCTCTTCTGGCCCAGTTTTGGCCTGGGTAGGCCTGATTTGGCCTGGTTTGGCTCACATGGTGCAGGATTTGTCAAGCGGAGAGGGCAGAGGCGGGGTGCTGCTCTTAGGGGGCACCACGGGTTTCGGTCTCAGGGCGGGGGGACGCAACGGAGTGCCCATACGGGCGGCCGCCACAGGCTTGAAAGAGCCCAGAGCATCTGGGGACGGGTTGGTCGGCCTCGGAGGTCCGGCAGGGGGTCCGGGTAGAGGACTAATGGGGCTCACTGGACTGAGGGGGCTCGGGGTGCCGGGGGTTCCAGGGGTCCCAGGCGTACCGGGTGTTCCGGGTGTGCCAGGCGTGCTGGGGGTGCTGTGGGGGCTGGGGGACTCAGAGGAACAGGTAGCAACAGGGCCGTTCTTCACCTGCTCCAGGGTGTCCAGGACCACGTCGGGGGCCGGCCGGCAGCCCTGCCGCTCCAGCTGCCGGAGCTCGCCCAGAGCTACATTCACCGTCTCCTCGATGTCCTGCAAACAAGATGGCGGCATTTCAACTAAAGATTGCTGGTTTTCTACAGTTTCTCTGAATAATGCTCCCCAGTCGGTGCTATTAGCTCCTTTTTTGTTTGGAAAATAGTTTTTTCAGGAAAAGTTTGATCTTAAGACAGATTTGGTCAGTGATCCTGTACCTGGGCCAGCGATTCAGCGTCCATCGCTCTGGATCGGAGCGAGTCGCTGAAGCTGTGCTGCCCACTGCTGGAGCGTCGTATGGGCGTGTCTTCCGGCCTGCGCAGCGAATCATGGCGGTTCACCGTCAAGGTCACGGCGGCAGAGCGCCGCCGCCGCTCTGGGCTGTCGAGAGGCGGGGTCATACCCTGGCCCCGCCCCAGCAGCAGATCTCTGGGGCTGAAGTGACCCGTCACAGGCGGAGAGCTGCGCTCCATCCCGCCTCCGCTGCCATGGTTGTCACTGGATCGGCAGAGAGGGCGGCGGAAGAGACCGTCTGTTCGTTTCCTCCTGTGGCTGTCATCAGGAAATACGAGCACAGTCAGAGAAGGCTGCCTACATAAAAACTAAAGGTTTGACTCAATTTATAACAGTTTGTATTTTGGCCCATTTCCTGTTTTCTAATATTTTTTTGAATATATAGAAATCTTCCTACAGTATACCATATAGTGATAAAATTGATGACCTTAGAAAACAGTCTTGTCCTTGGCAGCTTATTAATAAGGAGTTAGCATCTTCGTTCAGTGTTGTAAATGGCCTCATTGGCGTTTGAAGAGCATGTTTTATGTTTTTTATTAAGCTAATGGAAATAAAAGCTTCTATCAGCTGCTGGCAGCGTGCCCCAGAGCAGCTGTGGCTACAATGTAGCTAAAAGCTCTCAGTGTGTGTCTGAATTTAAAAGGTGCTATGCTAGTAGGAGTGAGTATTGGCATGGGTGTTTCATGTTTTACAATACGATATTGCAATATTACTATATATTGCGATATTTTTTCCAGCTATCAAAATTAAATGTATAAATGAAAAAGCAAGTGCTGCATATGTTCATCAAAAGATATTGATAATGTAGTTATTTTGGTATGTATGTTGTTTTGTGTTTGAATGAGTCTACGTCTTCCACTGCGACTGACTGAACTAAAAACATGGAGCTACACCGCACAGCAATAGGGCTCCATGGCGCCATCTACCGGGGTGGCGGTGCAGAGGCAGCCCATTTTTCCCTCATTATTTTAGGTTAAAATGTTTTGTTTTTAATCGATACTAGGAACCGAAAGATCGATATTATATTGGGCAGCCAAAAATCACAATATATCGCCAAATACATTTGGGGGATTTAAAGTTAGGCAATACCAGGCAGTTGCCTAGGGCCCCAAATTCCTGGGGGCCCATAAAACTCTGTTTCCATGTATGGTTAATACAATTATTCCTTATTTGTGCACATTAATTATGTTGTTGATAAAAACCCTTCTGCTAAAATGACATCAGAACGCTTCAGCCCCCCCCCTTCAGTGTCGACCATATTGGATCCGCCCATTTGCTGCACATGTTCCGAAAACATTTGAAAACCAACGATGCAAAGAGCAGTGTTGCCAACTTAGCGCTTTAGTCGCTATATTTAGCCACTTTTCAGACCCCTCTAGCACTTTGATGCAGGGGGGGGGGCTCAGCTTCATGGGGCCCCATAAATCTCTATTTCCATGTATAGTTAATACAACTATTCCTTATTTGTGCACAATAATTATGTTTTTTTTTATGAATATATTTTTGCTAAAAAGCCATCAGAACGCTGATAATATTAAGTGTGTCTCAGCCCCCCCCCTTCAGTGTCCACCATATTGGATCAGTCCATTTGCTGCACATGTTCAGAAAGGTCCAAACAGACAGCAGCAAACCATTTGAAAACAAACCATGTTGAATTAGTTAATTTTTAGTCTATTGAATGATTTATTAAATAAACATTTAGCTCTTGGTGCAAGCCGATGCTCTGAGCTGATCTTCTCAAAAAAGTCGCCTCTGTAACTTGAGAGCGTCAGAGGCGCCACTGACTGAGCCATGTGACTCGGAGCGCCGCTTAAACAAGGGAGCTGAATAAGCTAAAAGGTGTTATGCAATAAATCAGATTTGACCCTACCCCCTGTCAGACATGTTTTCGGTTTTCTGTTGTAGAATTTGATCTAGATCATATTTTTATTAATTTTTTTAAATATATATATATACATTTTGCATTTAAGATAAAACGTTTTTGTCTGTCAATATGGTCTATCCAGAACTCGTGGAAAAGTTTTAGTTTCACCTGGTTTGATTTAATAAAACATCTTTCCGATTATTAATCGATTCACCAGAAAAAATCCAGATTTTCTAAATAATCGTTAGTTGCAGCTCTAGTCCGTATATCACATTAGAAGAAGCTAAAAAAAAAAAAGCAGCACAGTGAGGTGAGACAAGAAGCTGGAGAGGAAAGACTCCATCATGGAGCAGACCTGTTAAAACTCTCAGGTGGTCTGATGTCGGTCGGGGAGCTCAGCTCGCTCCTGGACCTCTTATCCTCGGTGCTGCTGCTCCCTCCGTCACTGTCGGCTTTCTGACTGAGCGTGTCCGACATGGCGTCGGCCCTAAAGACACAGAGCGCAGACTCAGTGCTGAGCCAACACAACGCACCGCTCATCAGTTCAGTGATCGATAGCAGGAAGGCTAGAGGCTCCCTGAGTCCAATTAGGCTGTTAATCAACATGGCGGCAGATCCAGTTACAAACAAATCCACTCAGATCCATCAGAGACGCTCATCAATACATCAGACTAATTACTGCTGACTTAGAAAATGGCAGCGTCGTTACGTTGGAAGAAAAACAGGCAATTTTCAAACATAAAAAATATTTTAAACAAAATCAACATTATTTTAAAAACAATAAATAAAAAATATATATTTTATATATATTTTAATTTATAACATTGTGAAAGATTTGTCTGTATCTGATCCAACAATAACACAAATTTACTCTTTTGGGTTCCAGAAATATTAATAGAAATACTTAATGCAGGAATAAAAGGGAAAATAAATGTACTTAAATGAGGAATGAAAAAAGATTTATTTTATTCTATTTATATTAATCAAACTTAATTACTTTAAACTTATTAAATCCAAATGAAATATAAAAATACAGTTTTGGGATGTAGTGTCTTAGAAATAATTAAGACCACTAAAAGTTAATTAAAATTTATTTTAGGTAAAACAAATTTTGAAAGAAATGAAATGGAAAAAAAAATCTTTGCATTTTTGTTTAAAATTTGTTTTTCCGTGTTTAAATGGTGAAAAAAATAAAATAAAATACAGTCGGATCAAATTCAAAAAGAAAATCAAGGAAAAAATAATAATTCCAAAATAAAAGAAAATAAAAAAATGTAATTAATATTTTAAAGAACAGGGAATCTTCGTTATGGTCTAACACAATAAAGTAAAATTGAAAGAAAAGAATAAATTACATTCAACTGAAAAAAACAGATTAATTTACCGTAATTAGAAGGCTAAAACTAAATTATTAGAATGTAAGGAATTAATGAATATCATAAAAAAAGGATAAAATTCATCAAGGAAATGAAAGATACATGAGATAAATGTAAGAAAATGTATTTAAATGTAATAAAAAAAATAGAAAGTAGATAAAAATGATTAGCATATGTATTGTATGTAACTAAACATTGCTTATTTTTTTATTTTGAAATACTTTTAATTTTTCTGTTACTTTCAGCTTAGCTTAATAATCAGTATTAAGGTTCCATTTAGATTTTGATAGAACAAGATTTCAATTCATATACATTTAAAAATAGTTTTACTAAAAGTTGAGTAATAATAAAATATTATATATATAAAATAAATAAAATTACAGCTTTAATAACAATAAAAGTAGCTATTAGAGAAAACCTGTGAAGTTTATTAAATTTCTGAATCAATTGAAAGAGTTTTTAAAAATTAGATCAGCTGGATCAGATATGGACAGAAAAAAAAAAAAAGTTTTAAAAGCAGGTTCTTCATGAAAGTTTTAGCAGAATTGACGAGACGTGATATTTTTGTAATGTTTTTGGACTTGTGTACAAACCATTTGGGACTGTGCACTCGCCTGTCCTTCACCACGATGTACTGATGAGGCACCAGGCCGCGGCTGCCGTTGTGCCGCCCCTCCCACCAGTCATGTGACGCTCTATGAAAGAGCTGCAGCGACGCGCCTTTCTTGAAGGACAGCTCCCGGCCCGACCGGCCCACGTAGTCGAACCTGGCTACCGCCTCCACGGCCTCGCCCTCTGCCAGGGAAACGGAGGTGATCAGCCAATCAGAACAGAGCATTCCAACAAGTCTTTTTTTTCCTATCAATAGAGATGAAGATGAGGGGGATGGTGTCTGGCGGGAGTTGAGGCAAGGGAATGTGGCGTCTCCATGGCTGCTGTTGCCGTGGCAACCCTTCTCCACCAGGAGACTGAAAGATGGAGTGTGTGTGTGTGTGTGGGCGAACGTGTGAAGGTCAGGGGTCAGGGCGTACCCTCCTCGCTGGTCTGGGTCTCGGTGCCGGCGTCGGGCTCGGTCTCCTCCAAGGCTCCCGGCTCGCTGAACGGACTCTCGCTGCAGGGAGAGGGTGAGGAGAGGATCAGGCCTCAGAGTCGACCGACAAACCGTCCATTCAGAGCGGGAACAAAGGGAGGGGGGCGAGCACAGCGGGAGGCAAGGCTGCTCCACACAATCCGACAGAATGTCAGGATTTATTCAGGGTGGCGAGGAAGAGGAGCAGAGCGGCTTCCAGCAGATTTCACTTCAGTCACACGTTCCAGCCAAACTACTTGACAAGTGACGTCTCTGTCACCCCGCAGCTCCGTGCAGAGCCCTCAGAAAGATCTCACAGGCTTGGTTTTTAGACCAGACTCCATATTTATCCATCAAAATTTGATATTTAGAAATCAGGATAAATTCCGGGACTCACCAGTACTGGTCGCCGGTCATACACTTCTCATAAACTGGGCCTGGAACCTCCTTGGTGTCTGGAAAGATGTTGTCGTGGTGCAGGATGACCGTCTTGATGACCTCATTGACGTGCGCCTGGCAGGCCACCTGGTCCAGGGTCTCAGGCGTCGGTAGGAGGGTGGGGCCGAACACTATGGCCAGGTTCCCGGCGTCCATCATGTTCTCATCGCTGTACTGGGAGAGACTGGGAGGGAAATTGGAACATTTTAAAATAAATTAATCAGGAAGGAGATCTTCATCCTGTTCATTCAGTAACGGCGCAGCTGAAGGCCTGTTCTCTTGATCAAAATGGAAACATCACACTTCCTGCCTCTCCATCCCTCTCTGTGCTCAATATATATTCATCTGAGAGGCTGCGGCAAAAAATGAGCTACAAGAGAGGCTTATGTCCTCTCACTGTAAACGAAAGTGGGAGTTCTGGTGAAAACGGGAAGAATCAGACAGGGTTTAATGGGAGTGAACACTCACTGGTTGAGGAAGGCGAACAGGTAGCGCATCACCACCAGCGTGGCCCTGGGGACGCCCAGCAGGATCTTCCTGATGCACTGAGCTCTCTCATACAGGTTTTCCATCCCTGTGAAAGGAAATAAGGAACATTATGAGGTGTTGAGCTGCTCTGCGTCTCTGCTGAGGAGGGGACAGGTTTCAGCAGCACAAAGAAACGACGTCGGGGAAACAAAGAGGGAGTCACAGAGAGGCAGATAAAGAGGCGCTTTTCATGCAGAGCGGCACTCACGGACGCAGGAGATGAGGTCATTGAACCTGTCCTTTGGAAACAGAGGGTTCTCCAAGCCCCTGAAGTACAGCTTCAACACCCCAGCCACAGAGTTGATGTCATGGTTGCTCTCCTCGTCTATAAGCGGGTCGTTACCTGGACAACCGCAAAACAAAAAAAAAAAAAAATGTAATCGCTTGATATTTTAACGGCTATCAATCCGGTGACCCTCTGATCGTACCGGTGACCTCTCACCTCTCTCAAAGCAGTTCTTGATGTCGTTAACCTCGACCTGCGATCCTGAAACCCGGAAGATGCCCTGATGCTGAAGCCCTGAGAGGGAAACATCCAGACGTAAGCTGAGATTTGGGTTTTTCTTCTGGTTTTTAGCTTTCCAAATATTTCTACCATGTTTTTAAAGCTGTTGCCTCACAGACTAACTGCATTAATAACCAGATTCCTTTTGGTCTTCAAATATTGGAGTTTTTTTAAGCTGTTCAGAATTTCAAAAATCTTTTTAAAAAATAAATTAATTAGTTAAGCACATTAATAACCGTTTCCATTACTGCCCTAAAGGACGTTGTGAGGCCTGGGGGCCATTTTGGGGCCCTAGGAATAACGATGCATAGCCACCAGAACCAATTAAAGAACGGCAGAGCACAATTAGCTGATCAGGACGACCAATCCTTTGTAATTTAAATAGGAAATCTTATAAATGTTAATTTTTTGCCTTTTAGTTGCTCGATTTATTTATTTTTTTTTTCATTTTAAGTGTATAAAAGTAGGATCACAGACATGGAGCGACACAAAGCCGATTACAGAAACATTGGCCTAACGAAATACCACAAGTAATTTTACAGAAAAATTCTAACAGTATAGAAAATGTTTATTTTTAGAAATCTTTAATACATTTGTACGTAATAAAAAAAATGCTTTTGTGTGTATTTTTTAAATCCTTTGTTTTATTATTGGTACTGGGTAAAGATAAGTAGTCCCTAAATTTTTTGTTGAATTTTATTTATTTATATCTCTTTATTGGTTTCCAACTTTAAGATTTTGCCCAAAAATAAAACAGCATTATTCTATACTTATATATAATATAAATTAATAGTTAATATTTTAGCCATCTAAAAAAAAAAAAAAAAACAGGCAATAAGGCGAAAGATAAAAGCTTAAAAAGAAAAACTGATTGAATTTTATTTGTCACTTTTTGTCATAATTCTTTAAAGTCCTCCAAATAATGCAAAAACAAATATTGCATATTTTCATAACCGGTTAAAGGTTGAAAATTCTTTAAATGCCGTTTTTTGTTTGAATTACAACTGTGCAGAATATCAGAATTAAACTGGTGAAATGTTTATAATCTCTGAGAAAGAGACCAGATTACTGGTTCTATTGGAATAAATCTGAATACAGCTTTCCTAAAAATGTGATGAATCCCTAATTAGTCATTTATTTAGAAGCCGAATATTTTTTTCGATTCAGAGTCTATTTGGTTTAAGAAGATTTTCTCTTTAAATAAATAAAAATAGTTTTACTTTGGCCATCTTTGTTCTAAAATCTTAAATTGTGACAAAAGGCAAAAGCGGAGGATAAACTATTTTTAATAACTGGTGCTACGGTTTAGAAAACTGCTTTCTGGAAAATGAATCCACAACAAATATCTCAAAATAATCTGAAAGTTGAGGCTTACCGTGTAGATTGATGTAGCGGATGCAGCTCTCAACAATCAAGGGTATGGCTTTAGTTGAATCCTTTAAACACAGGAGGAGAGCAACTCAGTAATAAACATACTTTAATCATCATTTTTTATGAAAATAGAGCAAATTTCTAAATTGCAGCTTCTTTTTTTTTTTTAAAGAGAGGTCATACTTCCTGATCAAAGAGAAGAACAACTTCAACAGAGTTTAAAAAGGATGTAAAAAGTAAAATGTGATTATGTTAATGTTACCTTTTAATTTAAGCTACAAAGGAAAAAATAGGCTAGCAGGCAATGGCTAGATATTATTAAAAAAAAAATAGATTAAGATGTTTATTTTTGCCAAAAAAACAAATCTTGTAATTTAATTTTACTTATATTCTTCCAATAAAAGATCAAACACAGACTTAATATAGAGTTTTCATAAACCTTAGTTGTGACTACAGGTGTACGGAAAGCTGTATGCAGCAATAATTCCTTTAACTGTTCATCAAGACCGTTTCATTTGGTGCAGAATCATAACTAAGCTAACATTTCTACTCCGAAGTTCAAATTTCCAACCTAGGATTAAATATTTGAGCAGGAATGACGGAAATAAAGTTTAAACAGCAGGACAACCCTTAGCAAAAAGTAGTTTATTCAAGAATACTAAAAGTGCACTAATTTCATACTTACAATCAGGCAGTGCACTTAGAGTTTACTTATTCTAAATCTACTTAACAATAGTATAGTCAAGTGTACTTGACTATACTATTGTTTACTTTATTGTTTACTAAAGTATACTTTAAGTATACTTTAGTAAACTTAAAAATGTCCCAATTTAGTTCGAAGAAGTATTACTTTAGCAAAGTACATTGTTTGGTATACTTTCTAAACTTATACTTAAGTATTCTTAATAGAATTTACTTCAAGTATATTACTTTTTGCTAACGGAAAACCAAATATCCGTATTCAAGATGGCTGCCATTTGCATCAGCAGCAGTTCAGTTTCCTTCTTTGTTTCTAACAGTTATTATTTATGTAACATTTTCTCAATCGTATATTTTAGTGTTTAAAAAAAATCAGACGTTTCAAGCCAGTTTAAATCCACTAAACAGCAGGAAGAGCAGCATGTTTTTGTCACTTTTTTTTTGTTGTAACAGTGGCCTATCGTTACACTTTACACTTTTTGCAGATGACACCTGCGTTTACTTCTTACCACAATTCTTTTTAAATGATTGCAACATTCCTATGGAGGATAAAAAGTGCCAAAATTAAATAAATAAATAAATACAGCATTAAATAAATAATTAAATGTGTCAATAATTAATTAACGGGGTTAACGCAAATCGAGTCTCTGTAATCGATTTGCTTCGCCTTAATGTGCAGGGTGACCAATCAGGTGTTAGATAACCGCCCCCTAACTTTGATGGGTGAGTTTGACAGATTCTTTTAATGGTTTCGATGCACTGCTATGGAGAGCCATTTCAGCCAAAATTAAATAAATAAATAAATGGGTGATAATATGAAAAATAAATAAATTAAAAATTGGTTTAATGAAAAGGCTAAATTATTTATTCATTCATTTTTTTTTTATTTTACTCATTTTTTATTTATTTCACCCATTTATTTATTTAATTTAGGCTGAAATGGCTCTCCATACACTGCAACACAGGACCATGAAATAATTAAATGCACACTGAAATAATTATATATATTTTTGTAATAATTTTATGAAATTAATGACACATTTATGTATTTAATTCCTTATTTATTTAATGAATTACACATTTAATTGTTTATCGCTGTATTTATTTATTTAATTGTGGCACTTTATACTAGTGACGTGGTTTTAATTAATGAATGACACATTTAATTATTTAATTCCACATTTAATTAATTATTGACACATTTAATTATTTATTTAATGCTGTATTTATTTATTTAATTTTGGCACTTTTTATCCTCCATACATTTCAGGCCAATTTTAGTATGCACATTAAAAGCCTTAACTCCACTACCAAAATGTTAATATTTGAAATGATTCATACGCTAAATACTTTCTAAGCTTTGCACCTCAGTTTAACGAAGCTTAACAAATAAACACGGGGTTCAAATCGAGGCTCTATGTCAACCTTTCTCTCCATTAATGTCCTTAATTCTCTGGGCATAAAAAATAACACTGAGCATTTTGCTTGAAACTTCATAATACAGAAAAAATAAATCACTGTACAGATGAAATCCCAGCTTTATCAGTTAACCTTTCACATTAAAGGTACACAAATCAGAATTTGTTGTCTAACTATTTGCAAAAACTGAGCGACCCCCCACCCACCCCCCCTGGTCTGACTGAGGTGAAACTCTACCTGATGCTTGCTATGGGAGTTCTTCCGCCCACGACTACGATGAGCAGCAAAGGAAGAGGAGATAAAGAGAAATAAGAGTCTCATTTGGCACAGAGTTCACAGTGAAGTGGGAAAAGAGAAGCAAGACTTGTTATTAACGTGAAGAGATAATGAGCATTGTGACACGAGAAGATGCCTCACCTGGTAGTCAGCAGTTCAGATTTATATCCTGCAACAAGAAGCACATTTTAAAAGGGAAGAAGCAGATCGTTTGTATTACAACAAGCCCTGGAAGATCAGAAAGGTTCTGTGGGTCTTACCCTCGGCTAAGGCTTTCTTTAATATGTCATGTTTGGCCTGGAGTTTTGAGATGAGATTGCTGCCCTCCAGATACTCGCGAAACTTCTGAGGTTTGAAAAATAGATAAAAACACACGGATATATATTTATACCAGAGGAAATCTTCAACGTTTCTACTTCTTTTTCAGATGAAACACAGAAAAACAGACCTGGATAATGGTGGAAAACTGAAATAAACCACCAGAAATAAATTACAGCCGGTTTAGGAAGTAAGTATAACAAACTTAACATTCATTACTGGTAAAATGAAATCAGAAACTGAAAATTTCCGTTTCATTCGATTTTCAGGCAGTCAATAGAAACACAGAGCTACACGTTAATCCTCATAAAAATAATCCGCCTTTTATTTCTCACTGTCTGACATTAAGATTAGACCAAACGTTTATGATTTTAGGTCTGATAGGATTAACATTTTTTATTTATTTGTTAAAAAATGTCAAATTTCAGATGTTAACGTGCATGTCTGTAGTATTTGGTAAAACTGACCTATAATTGTGGGACTTATGTGAATTGTTTTGGGTTGTTACAGCAGTTTAATCAAAGTGTGACCCAGAACTAATGCAACAGAGTCACATGCTTTTGGTCTCAGCCCATGATGATGTCACCACCCCCGTGCTTTAAAGCACTGAAGGTGTTTTCAGGCTCACAGGCTCCTTTTTCCAAAAGGAGCAATGATTGTTCATTGTCCCTGAGCTCTTTGATACGGAAGAGGATTAGGGCCAGTGGAAAAAAAAAAAGTTAACTGATTTTTAAAT